ATAAGGCCTTATCTATCTGTTTTGAGGCTGCGTGGATCGGATTACTTTTCAAAGTTCGGAATGCACCACAGATAAAGTGATAAAACGGAACCTGTTCATTTCCCGGCAAAATTAGCTTGAGTAGTACACCTCATATACTCCTAGTCCCAACATTTTGTCCTGCGGAAACGATGGTTATAGGGGTTTTGTTGGTTGGGGAATAGGATAGGCAGTGAAGGAAATTTGTAGAAGTAAGTGAATAGTGGAAGATGTAGATGAATTTTTTTCCCGCGGCCGCTAGGATTAAGTTGTTCCGCATGTAAATTGGAGGTGTGCGCGGCGGTTCGCGTCTCGGACTTTACTAACCTAACTCCAGAACGGCAAGGTGGACCTCAGGTAAGTTGAAGTAGACGATCTCCTAGCCACCATTTCTATTTTTTCTCCAGGAATTTCAAGAAACCCGCATTTTGATAATCAGGTTTTCCGCAACACGTTAAACGATAATACAGATTATGAAAATCTACAGACATAAATCAACAACAAGTCTAAGTATAATAAAATAAAATGCATACAGTAGTTATTAACGTATATTCCACTTTCTATCCCAATTCTTCATCCAAAAAACCCTATAATTACCGTTTCTGTAGGACAAAATGCTGGAATTAAGGGTATATGAGGTGCACTACTTAAACTACTGTTGCCCATTTCCCTCACTCCTGTCACCGTCAGTCGTGTGTCCAACTCTTTAATACGATCTTGAACTTATGCGTCCTAGGTGATCCACAAAAAACAGTAAGCAAAACTGATGCGCAAAGATCGTAGATAAGATGTGGCCAGAATTGTAGTGATTTCGTTCCCATCGATAAAACGCACATTTTCAGTCTATGCGCTAGGCTTCCACGTAGGTGGCACACTTTCTGATGGTTTTGCTCTCAAAAGTAACGGCACGCAAAACTGTTGGGATATTTTATAAAAAAAAATAAGAAGGCAGCTGCTCCTAGCTTTTAGGCCGCAAGCTTTTGCTTCCGAATTCCTCTGTAGTCATAAATCATATTTTCGTGGAATTCTGGACTGACAGTTGTAAAACATAACCATAACTCTCGGTTATGCGCCAGTAGGCAGGTCAGGCTATTTTTAGTAATTAAATTCGGCAGTCAATCTTGGAGTCACCCCTGTTAAATGTCACCAGAGGCTCTGGCAGTCCGTGTTTGCTGATCAGAACAAATTCCTGTGAAACGGGTAAGCCAATGCGAGGAAGCCTGGAAGGGTAGATGGGAAGATTCAAATGTAAAAGTACTGGAATGGGCTATACGATGTTCTCGAATAATGAAGACAGAGCTCCCGGCAGGACATGGGAATAGGAGCTCCTTCTGAGCCCGTTACGCAACCCTGTGCTGCCTTCTAGAGAGAGATGGGTTAATTTTGGGTTTCATTTGTGTTAAGGTTAAAGTAGGGATTAGGATTAGGTAAAAGTTACCCATCCAGTGTTTTCGCGCCATGATACCTATATTACTGGGGCTTTCCATTTCCGTTTCCTACCGAGCTCCCCTTTCAAAATGGCTCTTAGAACATTTTACACACTGATTCCAGCTACTGGTATCAGTGAACCTTCTGTAGCATTTATTATGCTGGTTTCATCCCAAGCAAGGCACCTTGGTCTAGCAGGTTAGCGGCGGACACTTCGGAGGGGGGGGGGCGGTTTTGACTTGATGCAGGCCTAGGCAGATCAGTTATCTAGGCCGGAACTACGTTTGACATGTGGCGTGTCTACTGATAGCAGCCTGCCTCGTCCTGTGTGTCTCAGTTTTTTTCAGTTTTCAGTTTATTTGGTGGGGGTGATAGGCAATGCCTTTGAAAACCCTATTTATTACATGCCGGTGCGTCATATGCACCTGTACACGCGCGCGTAAAATGGTCACTATTAAAATATATTATTTCTTCGTAAAGTTTTCCAGTACCGTCTCGGATATTCACCCTGGTCCATACATCCGGAGAGGAATTTGGCTGTCACTTGCTGAGGTAAAATATTATTGACAAACAGTGGGTAGCATTGTTTATTCAAATAACTCTTGCCTCGTGCTTGTGTGGTGTTAGTTCGAGTTCATGCTGTCTGGAATGTTGATTCGGGATATTCTCCTCTCCTTTGTCTGCTTGAAGGGATTAACCTATTGATTTCTACACATTGGGAACTAGTACTATATACAGGGTGTCCCAAAAAATGTATAGACATTTTAAATTATTGTAAACTTAGTGTTTATTGTAATTTTACTATTTCAAAATTGTAAAACTATTTACAAGTATCATTTTATTGTTTTTTTTCACTGCATGTTCTCAAACTGACGTCCATTTAATCCAGACACTGCTGACAACGCAAAGCAATGTAATCGCAA